TCTGGACCCCAAAATGTATCCCTAAGTTTCTTCTCTAATAATGGCTGACATTTATAGGCACTTAGAATATGCTGAGCCTTTTATGTATGAATTCAATCCACCTACTAATGTTGGGAGGAAACTATACTATGCTTTTTTTCCACTATTGTATTTTGGAAGCATGGAACTTGTTGCTTTCAGAGTTTAACAGCTAGAAAGAAATTTTGCTTCAGAATTAATCATCTCTCAAGTCTCACCTGTACCTGTTTTAGAATGATAGTTTGATTAGGACTTAGAGTTGTTGTTGGAATGGGTTGTTAGAAGACTTTGGGTCTTCTGAGATGGGTTGAAAGCATTTTGCATGTGAAAAGACATGGATTTGAAGGAACAAAGGGTGGAATTTTATGGATTAAATGCATCCCACCACTCTAAATTCATATGTTGAAGCCCTAATCCCCATTGTGACTACATTTGGAAACAGGGTTTTTAAGGAGCTAAGCTTAAGGGAAGTCAGAAATATTTCTTCTAAGGACACCTAATCCAATAGGATTAGTGTCCTTATAAGAAAAGAGATACCTTGAGTGAGCAAGACAGAAGGTCACATGACTAGGGAGCAAGAAGTCTGCCCTCTGTGAGTGGAGGAGAGGGGACTCATCAGAAACCAACCTTTCCATCATTTTGGTCTAAGACAGTCAATCTACCAAAATTTGAAAAATAAATTTCTGTCATTGAAATCACTTGGTGTGTGGTATTCTGTTATAGCAGCCCTGTCAGACTAACAGAATCTGAGGCATAGAAATGCCAAGTAATTAATTAGTCACTTGGTTAGTAGACAACAAAAGGGAATTCTGACCCCCTCCTCTAACCACTGCACACACTGCCTTTCCAGCCCTATTAACCAAGTTATTCCCTCTTAGCCATGATGAAACCAAGAGTTCAGAAATAACACTTCAATATCACCTAATGCATATTATCTAACATCATCTATATATATTACAATAAATTCAGGATGTCAAAAATGAAGCCAGCCAAGGGCATTTGTTTTGTAAGATGTTGAAAGCTCACAATACTAAAAATTCATTTTAACCATGATCAAAAAAGAGTGAAAGTCAGAAAAATACAGATTTCTCTTAGATTTTATCCCAGGGGAGTATTATTTTTAAAAAAGAAAGAAAAAGAAAAGCAAGCGAATTCTAAGAGGAAACTGGCTTTTGCTATAAGGCATTAAAGGGAAACATGCATATTCCATTCTGAATCCCACTGAGCATCTAATGGTCCTCCACTGTTACATCTCATAGCATCCTTTGTTTTCCTTCATAGTTAAATGCTCTGCATTTTCTCAGTTTCTTTATTTTAAAATTAGGATAGTACTTTCTATCTTTTTAAGTTCTTAGTTGGCACCCCCTATAATGAAGGGCATATTAACAAGAGAAAATAAACAAGTTTATGAACACATATGTTCACATATATATGGAAGATCCCCATAAAATGAGAAATTCTCAAAGAAGAGGCTTTGAATTTAGGCTTCAATACTATCTGCAGCTGAAACAAGAAAATAATGATGCTGGGCTATAGCAGCTGTGAGCAAGTGACAAGGGGAAGCTTCATAAAGAAGTATAAGGTTTGCTATTCAGATTTGAGTGGGTGACTTCTCTAGTGATAAGAGTCTCCAGCATATTAGAGTCATCCTTCTCTTCCCAATAGTAAGAAGATAATTGTTTCACTCAGCTTTTTCATTGTTGTGACCAAAATACCTGACAGAAATAGCCTAGAGGAGGAAAAGTTTATTTGTGGCTCATGGTTTCAGAGGTCTCAGTCCATAAATGGCCAACTCCATTGCTCTGAGCCCAGAGTGAAGCAACACAACATGTGGGAAGGAATCACTAGAGAAAAGATGCTTAGCTCATATGGCAGGGTCATGAAACAGTGTGGGCACAGAGAGGATGCACCCTTTCCTTTCAGGGCATGCTGCCAGTAACCCACCTTCTCCAACCCTGTCCCGCCCTCCTACAGTTACCACCCAAACTAGGCTGAACTGATTAGGTTACAGCTCTTATACTCTAATGATTTCACCTCTGAATATTCCTTAATTAACAGGGGCTTTGGGGGGATGCCTCATACCCAAATCATAACAACACCTTTACAAATATAGGTTTCCTTCATAAATTTAAATTCCCTTTACAAAAGTAGCATAGATGACATATTCTGCTTATACTATCTATCATAAAAAGTGTAAAATTTAAATAGATGAATATATATATAATGCTTAGAATAATTCCTAACACATGGTAGAAGCTCAGTAAATATAGATGGATATTATTGTTTACAGCATTTAACATAATTTTGCTGCACCTAGTTTTGTGACTATTCATTCAATATTTGACTCTCCACTAGAATGAGTTTCCTGATGGCAGAAGTAATTAAACACTGTGGCACACATCACAGTTCTTCCTTGCTATCCATTTCTTCTCTCCATTAGGAACCAGAAGGAGATTGTGCTTCCTTGCCTTCTCAAAGTTGGGCATGGCCATTGACTTACTTTAGTCAACGAAATACATACAGAAGTGTCATGTCTGGTTCTATTTTCAAATGCTACTCTTTATTCTTCACTTCTCTCTTCTCCCACCTCACTGAATGTGGAAGTAGTGTTTGATCTAATGATATAACACTGAGTCCTCACATACAGGACAGCTACTCTGGGAAGTAAATTGGATCCATAGTAGACTTTGATAAGCAAGAAACAAACTGCTATTGCTGAAGCCTCAGAGACTTTGGGTTGACTTATTTCAGTAGCATAATCTAGCCTACCCTGGATTTTGTAACCATTACATTTCCACAGTGTATCATAAAGTCTGGCATATACTAAAGTGATTAAATGTGCTTTGATTAAATTAATAGATTAAAAAGTTTTAATCAGCAATTAAAATGAATGATTTTAATTAAAGAAATTATTTCAACTTGATTCTGTGTACAATCAAAAGTCTTGGAAATTTTAACTGATTAATACATAGGGATCCCTATCCTTTAAATATCAAACCATTATCTTTGATAGAGTCACATGTGCTTGCCAGTCCAGGGGGACCCCATTAAAATTTTGCGTTTTGTTGAATTTCAATTAAATAAACTTTTCTGTGACTTGGTCTTTGAAACCTTTATTCACTTACTTAAATCACCCCCATTTGAAGGCACCAGTGCCTCATAGAATGTCCCTGCAAAGCTCCATCTGTGTGTGTGGTCCCTGCCTCCATGACAACCAAAACCCAGATGCAGAAATTCTTCATAATCACTTAGATTACACTAGAAACCAGAAGGACGTTGAGGTCAAAAATGATTCAAAGAACATGTTTAACAAATTGAATTTGCAGTTTCTACCACCAGGAAGGAGGTAAGGGGGATAGGCATTTGTTTGTGGTATCTTTTGGTTCTCATTTCAACAGAAATCAATAAATTGGCCAAAACAAAAGAAAAATATGAGCCCAGTATATACTCATTGTGGAAGTGAAAGCAAGATCTGTGAGGGGCAATGGTGGGATCAGATAGAAAATTGACCTTGCCACAGAAAAAAGTGATGATACCCCAGAGAGTGAGGAAAGAGCCCTGTGTATGAGAAAGAAGTCACAGATTAAAGGTGTTCTCCAGAGCCGCTAATGGTACCAGGAAATCCACTTATTTAGGAAGTTTCCTCAACTAACTCCTGGAGCTCCCAGTTCTGGTGTCTAGGGGACTGTCAGACTCATAAACACAGGTAGCAGGAGGATCTGAAATCTTATTTGAGGGGTAAGAACTAAGTAAGTCTAAGACAAAAGAAAGGGGGTGGGGGCAGGGAATAAAGTGAAAGGCCAGTTTTGATCTGTTCTTCAGAGAAGCTGTGGGCTTTTGGAGAGGCAGCAGAGTATAGAAGATGAGCCAGGGTGCCTACTTGGGTAACTTATTATTATCTTTACTAGTTGTGTGATCTTGGGCAAGTCTTAAACCTTAATTTAAACCTCTCTGTGCTGCCACTTCCATCCCTGAAGATGACTATACATCAGCGCCCATCTCCAGGGATTGTCAAGGGTAATAAATGACTTGATTAAAACCTGTACAGCTGCTTGTCCAGTGCCTAGCCCACAGCAATCTTTCAGGAAATGCCGGCTTTTGTTATTATGGGCCTAGTGCACAAACTATTCTTACCAACTATGTAATCTTGAGCATGTTATTTTTCTTCTCAGCATCTGTTTTCTCATCTGTAAAATGGAGTGGTAATCATTTTCATGCCTTGTTGTTTTAAAAGGAGATACAACACTTTCAATAGCACCTTGCTCACTTATCTCATGATCGAAATTCTGACAGCATTATTTCTTTTGATAGATAAGAAGCTAAATAGGAAGCGAAAGACACCCTACCTCTGAGAGGAGGAAGTGCAGTGGAGTCGAATGTGGGTGAAGATTTAACGTACACTCAAGAATATCTGGAGGAACGAGGATCAGTTTCTTCATAGTTGGAAAGAAATGTGCTGGTTCATCTCTTTAAAGACTGTAAGCTCATGTAAGAAAAGCTGAGATGGATTCTTGAAGACAGAGATCTGCTCACACTTTGCATCCCCCTTAACATAGTGCAAGGCGCTCTAAGCATTTAGAATCCACCTAAACCAAGGGTCTATGATGGACAACATAATCCAAAGTACATGTATGAAGACACGAATTGGTGTGAATATACTTTGTATACAACCAGAGATATGAAAAATTGTGCTCTGTATGTGTAATAAGAGTTGTAATGCATTCTGCTGTCATATATAAAA